TAATTTTATTAAAAAATTAATTTTTTAATAAAAAGGTTGACGTGGACATAAAAATATGTCCACATCATTTTTTTTTACAAAATATATTATCCACGCCACACAATTCTGTTAATTGACTGCCACGTATCAAAAAATTTAACAAAAGAACTAAAAGAGGGTTGGATTTCAAAATTTAGGGACTAAAAAAGAGATATTTTCAATACATAGACTAAAAATAAGCTTTTTTAATAGTAGAAGAACCAAAAAAATATTTAACCTAGAACTTTTAGCAACATATATCATTTTGTTGAAAGTTTAGGCACTCACAATGTATTTCATGTTACTAAAACCTATATGAATTTCAAATTTCATAACCCATCAATGTATATTATATTGCTAAAATTTTAAATCTTTATTTTTACTTGTATTCATCGGTTAAAATTGTTATAATTTAATAATTAATTCTTATTCTTAAAAAAATTCTTTTTTATTTAAAAACTTATTTTATTAGTTAGTTTTGTTTACCCTATTAAATTTTATTTAATATTTAAGATATTAATTAATATAATTACATTATTTATCAACTTATTTAAATAATTTAAAACTCTATTTTGTTTAAAAAATAAAGTTAAAATGCTAATTTAGTCCCTCAACTTTTTAATATGATCCAAATTTGTCTTTAAACTTTAAAAAATATAAAAAATGTCCTTAAACTTCAATTTTTCATACTAATTTACTCCTTCCGCCAGCGTTAACTTCCAAAAAAAAAAAAATCAAATCTTTTCATCTTTTAATAATAACGTGTAAAAGAGAAAACCCATAAAGTGATGAGATGGCATTTTTTTATTTCCACCTGGCAATTTTTAATCCTTAGTAGACAAATAAATAAAGAACTCATATTTTCCAAATTGAAATGTGTTCCTCAACTTTTGCTTTTCACATTAGAATTACTTCCTATCAATTTTCTTCACTTTAGTAGATTGCTTGCGAAATTGTTTCAAAACCAATTTTGGGTTTGAAACCTATTGCGTTCCCATCCACAAAGATTATGAATAAATACATAAATCTTCAATTACAAAATAAGAAGGAATCTATCGACACGTAACAAAGGAACAAAACACAGCCATAAAAATCCCAAACGCCAGAGAAACTTAAAATCAAAACTAGAGGACGAATTTATTGTTGAGTTGCAGCTGGGTCACCATGGTTCTAGGAACGTATTTGCAGATTTGGGAGCCTAGATGGATTCCCCATTGTGCAGCCTTGTTAGATCGAGAATATTGGGTTTTCTATGGTTCAATCGAAGGGGGGGAAAGGCAGTAGTGGAGAGGACGCTTGGCACTGGCGGCTGTAGAGAAAGAAAGAGGCAGATCTGAGTGGATGCCAAAATCTAGTGAAACCCAGATTGAGAACAGACATGGGTAGTGGGTTTTGTGGAAGGGAAGAGCTAAGGTAGAGAGGAAAGGATTGGGCTGAGGACAGAGATCTAGGGGGAAGAAGAGAGAGGGACAGCGAAGTGATGAAGAAGTTGTGGATGAAAGAGAAGGAGATCATTTATGCTGAAGTCAGAGAAGAAAAAGGGAAGAAGAGTTTGCCAACACCGGAGAAGGGGAAGAAAGGAAGAAAAGGGTGAATCAAAGAAGAGAGGAGAACCGGCCTCTCCGTAGTCCTAATGGCTGAGTGTTTGTCTTAAAACACTAAGTCATGGATTCCGGGTTCAAAGGTCCGGTGAGCAGAGCAGAAGAAGAGAGGAGAAATTAATGGAGAAGATGAAGGGATGGATGCCATTTTAATTTTAAATATTTTAATTATAACTACGGCGATTGAATTTAACAATAAATTTGACATTTAAGATTAATTAATTAATGTTTATTGCAATTTCCTAAAAAAATTAAACACATCAGCCTTTTAAATTTTCACTTACATTTTAGGTCATCGAAAAAATTTCAACAACAAATATTATGTTTTAGCAGCATAATACTTGTGGTTGAATATGAAATATACCTTTAAAAGGGAAAAGTAAGCAAAAAGTACTGTATATTTATTAGCAGCATAAGTCTTGGCTGTGAAAGTTTATACGGATAAATAGTTGCTAAAATTAGCAATTTTAGTAGTGCATGCACTATTCTAGGAACCCGCATTAACGTGGATTAGATTCAGGCAGAGATTGTGGGGTTTTACAAACAGCTATTTGGAACTACATCCGAAGCCTTTACTCCAGTGGACATATCTGTACTTCAGCGGGGATCTACATTTACAGATACACATAGGGATGCTTTGTGAAAACCTGTAACAGCCGAGGAAGTCAAGATTGCTGTGTTTTCAACGGGGAATGAGAAATCCCCAGGGCCAGACGGTTTCCCTGCAGGTTTTAATAAAGCTGCTTGTCTATTATTCATGAGGATGTAGAAAGTGCAGAAATGGATTTCTTCAGAACGGGGAAGCTGCTAGCTCAAGTAAATGCCACAAATAGTTGCTTGATACCAAAAATTCCAAATCCCAGCAAATTAAGCGATTACAAGCACAAGCTGCAATGTCATATATAAAACAATTTCAAAAGTAATTACGTACAAATAGGCTGCAGGTGATTCTAAATGATATTATTAGCCCAAACCAAGGGGCTTTTGTGAAGAACAGTTCAATTGTTGCAAATATACTACTCTCCCAGGACCTAGTCAACAAATACCACAGGAAACAAGGGGCAGCCAGGAGTCTAATGAAGCTGGAGTTACGAAAAGCTTATGACTCCATAGAGTAGTGTTTTTTGCAACAGATTCTGGTGGGGTTGGCATTTCCAGACTAGATGGTTAAATGGATTATGAGATGTGTGTCAACTGCTTACTTCTCTATTCTAATTAATGGCGTCCCATCCCATGTGACTACTTTAGTCTTAGTGGAAGGAAAGGTCTCGGACAAGGGGACGCAATGTCTCCTTGCTTGTCATTGGAACGGAGTACTTGTCCCAGCTTCTCAAGAAAGTGGAGGAAAACGGCAAGTTCCATTTTCAGTTACGGAGTTGATCCTGGCACACCTGGTTAGGGCAGAGACAAGCTCTCGCCTGGTTTTTTAAAGCAAGCCTTTGAGGACTTCTCTGGAGCCTCGGGCTTAACTGTCAACAAGGAAAGCCAAGTTTGTATTGGTAGGACAATAAATGCTCTAAATAAACGATTGTGAAGGGATGATGACTTTTCAATTTTCCATCTCTTCCTCTTTGGTGGGCTTCAGGGGAATACGTAAGAGAGCTCTCAAGTCTCAACAGATACTACGAGTTCATATTAAACCATACACGAAACACTACAAATCCAACTTATTTCTTCACACACACCCCTGAGGACACATCCATAACCCTAGAACACGTGCAATATGTATCATGGCATGAACCTGATTATATTTTCACAATTCTTAATATCTAATGAACCTAAGATTATGAATTACCCTTAATTTCTCAGGCCATGAGAGGATATAGGATTGTTTGCTGCAGGCTGATAAACTTCTTGTTCTGAGTTTTCCTGCACGGGAACAGCAACATCTGCTGATGTGTCAGGAGGTCTGTCAAAGGACAGAATTTCCACTGTTGATTCCTTAGGCATGATACGGAGCGTGAGGTTCAACCTAGGAATTTTTATTATTGTCTCCTCAGCCATTTTTACTTGGAAATTGTCGACTCTCATCAGGTCATGAGAGGATATAGGATTGTTTGCAGCAGGCTGATAAACTTGTTGCTTTGGGTTTTCCTGCACGGGAACGGCAGCATCTGCTGATGTGTCAGAAGGTCTTCTGTCAAAGGAGAGTATTTCCACTTTTGATTCCTTAGGAGTGATATGGAGCTCGACGTTCAACTCAGGAATTCTCATTATTGTCTCCTCAACCATTTTTACCTGGGAATTGTCGATTGTCATCAGGTCATGAGAGAATATAGGATTGTTTGCAGGAGGCTGATAAACATGTTTGCGGTTTTCCCGCTCAGGAACAGCAGCATCTGCTGACGCGTCTGATGGCCTTCTGTCAAAGAATTGCATTCCCAATTTTGATACCTCAGGCATTTCTACCTGCAATTAAAAACATTCAACCAAAAGAAAATCGATCATTTCTTTTTTTTTTCCCCCTTAATTTCTTCTTCTTCTTCTTCATTTTTTTTTTTTTTTTTTTTTTTTTTTTTTTTTTTTTTTTTGTAAATATATATGTTATTTTGTTCACTCACTCTACAGGGTTCTGATGTACCTAATCAGACAATCAACAATATAATCAAATAACAAGGGTAAGATCGAGAAATGGGGAAGGAGGGGCAGAAAAGACGGCAAAGCCAATAGGCAAAGATAAAGAACCCACTTGTGTCTCAGGATCAGAGTAAGCTTGCTTTCTTTTTTTGCAATATCTAACTGACTCTTTTTTGGAAGGCATCCTGAAAAATAGTATATCAATCAGTAGGAAAGAAAGATAGTTAAATTTAAATATGAGAAAAGCATGAACAAGAGATCAAGAGATGAACATATGCACAAGATATGAGATAACAGATCGATCTGAGTGAAGATAGTTTGAATCGATGTCTAATATGCATCACATACTATGCAATAAAGAATAGTCTTTCACACAAATGATGAACCTACGACAATCTATAGCTTAGCATTTTTTTTTCTTTTTTTTTTTTTCAATATATTAGAGAATTAGCTATTCAACTGTCTAAGAGATTTGAAACTCTTATTTTGACTTCAAATTAAAATTTTTAAATTAGTAAATGTCAATTCGACCAAACTCTTATTAGTACAGCTTAACCATTTAAATATGCTAAAAACTATTTATATCTACATATACATCATTTTGGCTAAGCTGAATATTCTCACGAGGACAAACTCTCAAATATGTTAATATGTAGCTAGCTGTTTTTTTGCAGACAGATACTAGTTAATGTTCTGAACATTAATTTGTCTTTAGACATCTAACAGACGACAGTAATAGACGTTAGCAAGCACCGATCACCATATGTGGTTACCTCCTTTGTGCATGTTCTTCTTCATCCTCATCATATTCTGGTAGCTCTCTTAATGACCAGCCACTTGTTGTTCGCCTCAACAGATTATCAGATTTCTTTTTCCCAAGTATCGTGTCACCATCTTTTTCTCCAGCACCTATTTAAGAGGGGAGCGTTATAATGTGCCTCTATTTAGGTCATCATTTATGAAAATTACTTTAGAAATTCCTTCATGCACCGTACATGGATCTGTCACATAAAAAAAATTGATACTATGCATACACTTTTTAATTCAATACAATTTATAATAAATTTATTAAAAAATTATTATTTTTAAAAAAATTTAAAATACGATCATATATATATATAAATAATTAAATGAACTAATTAAATTTATATCATATTTTAATAATTGAAAAAAATAAAATAAAAAAAATAATAAAAAAACACATGCACAAAAAGGAAAGTTTTGCCCTTACCTGACCGATGAGTAGAAATATCTTACTCATACCCATAGGTAAAAAATGTGAGTACCCATTGGCATCCGGTATGAGTAAAGTTGTTACCTTGAGTAAAATGTTTTATTTTTTCAAAAAAAAAAAAAAATTCCACTGATCAATACGCTTGTTGCACCCAAGCTGTAAGCCCCATTGGTCTGCATGTCAATCACGTGTGATCCCCCATGCTTGATACAATTGATACGAAACCAGTTCCAACAAAAGAATCACTAAGCTCGTTCTGATTACGTACTTTGATATGACTGGGGAGAGAGCTCCTCTATTACTGGACTGCTTGCACCAGTGGGGAAGGCCGGGGATGATGGAAGCATCATTGCATGACTGCTCTGTATGACACCTTCTGTTTCCCCATATTGCCCAAAACCTCCGATGAAGATGGTGCTGCTTCCATCTAAGTTCTGCCTGTTGCCACAAGTTTTCATTGAGGCCTGCTTGTTTTTAATATTTAATTGGTAAGAAGATTGCATGAATAATTTTTCTAGAAGTAGGAAAATTAAACTGAGGTTTATCTAGTTAGGAGCAGAGACTTACAACTTCCTTTCCTAAAATTTCCACTTTCCTTCTAAGCTGTTCCAGTACATTTGATTGAGTTTCGGACATTCCATTGCGTTCTTTTAGGGATTCAATAATCTCAGCCCTCAATGATCTTCCATTTTCAGCCTCCAGAGTCTTTAAACGTATTTTTAATTTTTTATTTCTTTCCTGAATATTGTACCACAATAATACTATTATTGGAGACAGTAATCAAGATCAAAGGAATATCATTTCAAAATTTCTAAAAACAAAAACTGAAAATAAGATTTTGCTCTAGTTCCCAAAATGACAGAATTTTGTATCCGAATTGCACTTTTGAGGAAATCAAGAGCTCTGACCAAATAAATTTTCCACATTGGTACCTAGAAGAACTGAAACGAGAAATAGTACATGAAAATGGGCAACAAGGTATATTTACTCATTTATTTCAATGATTATTGAAATAAATCTTTATACTCTTTTCTTGAAATAAATCCCTCTTATACTTATAAATTGAATTAAATTAACGCTTTTACATCTTAATTGAAATAAATTAGCTAAAATTTATCAATAACGTACTGATACATTTTCATTCATCTATCCCCTTCAATCCATTACCCGTCTAGCGCTCTTGCTGATTAGGCAATCTTTTACTTTTTTTTTTTTTTTTTGATGATATGACATTTTATTTACAATTACTTTAAGAAATTGGTTAATTCTTTCTTGGTGATACTAGGAAAAGAAGACATCGTGTCATTGTAAAAATAGGCCCAAAATTACCAAATTAACAAGAATTTAATAGGTATTGAAGGGGAAGTCATTAATGATAACTTATGATTATGTCATCTATTAAATTCAAAATAATTTATTTCAACTGAAATGTAAAAAAATTAATTAATTTAACTAAAAAGTTTAAGAAGAGATTTATTTTTTAAAAAAATATAAGAGTTCATTTCAATCATTACTAAAAGTAAAGAGATAAATATACTATTTTTGGCTACAAAAATGTTATGTTTATGATATTGAACAACTAAACAAAATCTTTCTTAAGGACACTAATTGGTACATGTTATTTTTCTGTTCTTCTTCAATTTGCCAAGTACCCTTTGGTTCATCAAAGGATTTTCGTGTTTGGGGATTCATTTTCAGCGTCAAGTGTCTCTAGCTTGAACATATCATAATAAAATTAAACATTAATAAAATTGAAGACTAAAACAAAATAGAAGAATAAAAGCAAGCTTCAGTGGTTAGGGTCAAACTTACAAGTTGCTTAAGATCATCCAGTTCCTTTGATAGAGTATAAAATTAATCTCTCATTTCGCCAAAGCATTTTCTTCTTTTAGTAATTAATTCTTTTTCACTCTTTAATAGTTCATTTTCAGCCTCAAGTATATATCTTCAGATTTGAACATAATTTTCTGTTCATTTTCCTAGATCATATGTATCATTTGATCAGTAATATTAAAATTCAAGACTTAAACAACAAAATGAAAATAAGCTTTGGTAATTAGGGGCAAACTTACAAGTTTCTTGATGAATTTCTGGTTCAAGTCTTGAAAAGTATCTCTAAGCTCATCTAGTTCCTTTGATCGTGTTTCAAAACTCAGCTTCACCAAAACATTTTCTTGTTTCAAGGATTCATTTTCACTCTTTAATAGTTCAATCTCAGCCTCAAGTGTCTCCAGAGTGGACATCGTTTGCTTTTGTCTTTCCTGAACATACCACAAGTACTCAAACATCTAAACACAAAGGTCATATACAGTTGCTTGGATGAAATTGCTACTCTTTCACCAAACTATAAAAATTAAATATGGATCATAGCAATTAATAAGAAATTGAGGAAGAAATAATTAAACTTAAGTTGTATTCTATTATATTTCCAATATTTTAAACAAAGTCCGTTCAAGTTGAAAGCAATTGATAATATAATTGAATGAGCTCACCCTTTGGCTAGATTTCCCACTTAAGAAAAGAATACCTTGAGTCTCTTCCTATATGCTCTATCATTCCTTCTTTTTTTGTCCAGTCGGTGATCTGCTGCAGTATTTTGAGGGATAATTCTTCTTGAATGAGAATCTGCAGACGATGTATCTGCAGGTTGACGTTGAAGCGAATGTTGTTGCCTCATCAGCTCTTCATCGGCTGTGATCTGATTTATCACCTGTGGAGTTTGCTTACCGCTTCGATTTATATGGAGCAACTGTACCCCGTAACCGGCCTTGTGGAAATTGCTTGATATTTGCTGCTGTAGATTAAGGGTATATAATACTGTAAGGAATTTAATAAGCTAAAGAAACCAAAAACTCTAAATCTTAATTAATTATCTATATGATATTAGATGGGGAGAATCTCAAGATCGATATATATATATGATCTAAATTATATTGATTGCCATCAAACACATGCATATATATAAACTGACATTAATTAGTTTGAAGAAAAAAGTTTTTGAAACACTTACAACTTCCATTGATGGATTGCTTCTTTTTCTCATCTTCACCACCGCTACAGAGAATTAGGATTCCTTGGCATCTCCTCCTTTAATTTATTTTTCACTGTGTACTAAGTTGCGAAGAAATTGCAAAATGGACATTGTCAAAAAGGTTGGGCTCCAAGGAATTAAATACAAAATATAAAAGGAGAGTGGGACATGGTAAAGGTGGTAATTGCATTTTCCAGGAAAGAGAAATTTTGATATAAGATTTTGAGCTAATAAGGATACAAACTTTCAAAAGTTAGTAGCCGAGGATATCAACCATGCACTTTTGCTAGACAACGTTTTATTGAATGTCACAAACGACGTGGCATAAGGAACCATCAATGGACTCAACAAGTTGTATTAACACATAATAAGATATTAGGGATTGTTGACATGAACAGTTAAATAAAAGATTGAAAAGATAAATAATTAGAATAAAACCTTTGTATAAAATTTATTTATACAACTTTACGTAACATTAATAAATTTATTACATCATCATTTAACTGAGCATAGGACAAATTTGGTATAAAAATTTAAAATTTAAAGACATTTTTAGTACTTTTTGATATTTAAGGATGGATTTGGTACAAATTTAAAAGCTGAGATACCAAACTGGTATTTCACCAACCAAAAACCAACAAACCCCAATCAGGCATATAAACGAACAGCTGGTGAGCATGAGTAAGGTAGCTCTAATATTCCCATACATACATCAACAATTTGAAATCCAAACAATCGCAAATAGATGGCAATCATACATGATTGATAACAATCAAGATAAATCTATGAATAAGATAATTCAGAATTTTATTGATTATTACAAACTAAAATGAAGGTAGTAAAATGCTTAACGAAAAGGGTAATATCGTGAGATCATACTGAAGGGCCGTTCAGTTCCAGGAAATTTTCAGAAAGTTTAACTGCAGAAAATTGTCGCATGGTTTCTTCCACTGTGCCAGGGTGGTTTCCATAAACCTGGATTTTGACTGTGGGATCAATCAGATTCCGACGGCTACATCCTTCTCCGCGGAGATCTTAGGGAATTTCGGTTACTATCGGTTCCGGTAACTTAGAAGACTCAGTTGCCTGTTTCTGGTACCCTTGCCTCCGACGTAATGCCTTGTGTTGCTTTCAGCATTGCTTTGTTTGGTTGAGGCCTGCTTGTTTTAAAATATTAAATTAGTGAGAAGAATGCATGTATTAATTTTCGAAAAAAAGAAGAAGGAGGTTTCTTGGTTAGGGGGCAGACACTTACAAGTTCTTTCTCTAAATTTTCCAATTTACTTGTCAGCTGGCCCTGTTCAGCTTTATTGGCTACTTTTAGGGATTCAATAATCTCATCCTTCAATTTTCCATTTTCAGCCTCCTGTGTTTTTAGATCGACCTTTAGTTGTCGTTTCTTTCCTGAACATACCACCATATTAGACAATAAGATCAAACTGAGAAACAAGATATCTTATGATGTCATTCTCAAAATTTTGAAAACTAAAAACTGAAAATAAGATTTTCTTTTTGTCTTCTAAAACAAATAGACTTTTGTTGCTTATATTTATTACTAATCCTGAAGGAAAGATTTTAGTGATAAGGTGTAGAATTAAAATGTTATAACCATGGACTAGAACAGGAAAAGAATATTTGTCAAAAAATGATTATAAGGGCCTGTTTAGTTTGAGGAAAGAGGGGAGAGACTATCTTAACCAATCAAATTAGGTAGTCAAGCCAATGTTTTAGAGTGTTTGGCTTGACTTATTTTATCGATGTAGAGTTTTTTTTGGTTTAAGTATCATTTTGGTCCTTCAACTTTTTATTTTGGTACTAAAATTGTCCCTTACTTTTAAAACGTATTCAAATTATCCTTAAACTTTCATTTTTGATACAAAACAGTCCTTCTGTTAATTCCATTAGTTAAATGACAGGTGGCACGTTAATTTTTTTGCTTAACTAATGACATGAAAAAAGTATATATATAGTTAGCCATCGTATGAGTTGACATTTTTATTTAATTTAAAAATAATAATTTTTTCTTTTTTTTCGCCCACGTCAGATTTCTTTACAAAAAAAAATTCATCTTCTTCCCCCTTTCCTCCTTCGACAGTTTTGTCTCCTCAATCTCGATCAGCCTTCCTCATTCCTTTCGCTACTCATCTTTCTTCCTTCTTATTCTTTTTCTTTCTCTTCTACCTTCTTCTTCCTCTCCAAATCAAACCTAGATTTGGGTTTTTCCCAAACCTAGATTTGGGTTTTTCCCAAACCCAGATCTGGGTTTTTCTCACATTTGACCCACTCCCAGTCGTCCAATCTCCCTCTGAACGTCACAAATTTGTCCTTCATCATCTGCACCTGCATCTCCATGCCTTCACTGCCACATCAACTGAACAACATTCACCAACCAAAAGAACAACAGTGAATGAGGTATTGCAGAAAAAGATTTGAGTCAATAAAGAAAGATTAGAGAAACCCAATTCATCTTTCAACTGAAATAAGCCAAAATACTGTTTATATTCTCATATTTCCCCAGAAATCAAAGTAGCAATTCAAGGAATGGCAGTAAATTAGTCCTTGAATACCCATTAAAAAGAAAAGGAAACAAAAAAAAAAACAAAACACTTATAGAAGGAGAAGCAACATTGATAAGAAGTGACCTAAAGCTTCATTTGCTCGAACTAAAGTAGATCCCAGGAGACGAGAAATGGATGAGGTGATGCGAGGCGTTGAGGGAAGGGAGCGCTTGGCTTGACTGTGCAGCCAAGGAGCGGAACTTTGTGCAGAATCTCTGGGCGAGATCTTGCGACGACGCATACCGACCGTTGCTGCTGCAGAGCCGTGCTGGGGCCATGACACCAGGCTTGAGACAAACCCAGATCTGGGTTTGTTTTGATGAAGAAGCAGCAACAGCAGTAGCTAAAACTGATGAGTGGAAGAAAGTATGGAGGCTCACGAAAAAAACCAAAGCAATCTCCACTTAATGAGTTTCCATCATTGGGCAAATCTGTGTTTGTTTTGGAGAGGAAGAAAAATCGAAAGAGAGGAAAAAGAAAGAAAGAAGATGAAGTTTTTATTTTTTTGTTTTTAATTTTGAAAAATTATGAAATAATAAAAAAAATATTAAATTTTCTTAGCTGGAATTGACACGTAATTAAAATTAAAAAGTTTCAGTGATTTTGTGGTAAGAAAATGTGCCACCTGTCATTTAACTGACGGAAGGATCATTTTGTACTGAAAATGAAAGTTTAAAGATAATTTTAATACTTTTTAAAGGTGAAGGATAATTTTCATGCCAAAATGAAAAGTTGAGGGACCAAAATGGTACTTAAACCTTTTTTTTTCTCTTAAACCGTTGGTTAAGGATGTGTTTGGGAAGGTGAGCCCATAAACTGATTTTAAACTAATATCAATTGTTCTATCAACTATCATCTAACATCTACTATCAAGGAAATCAGGGAAATCAATCATAAGATTCTGCTATTACTACGTAATCTAAATCTGTATCTTATTCTCATTACATTTTATATATTATATTCTTCGTATTCAATCGTAGTTACATTTTATACTAGATTAGCTTATGGAAACGATGAAATTCTCGCTGGAGAATGGGGGGGGCTCTGACAACAATATAAGAGGTAGGTTGTGTTTGAATAGCTTGATGATTTATTCATAGGAATACAGTCTGTATATAGTTCTTGCCATAAGTTAACCCTAGTATAAAAGGCAAGTACTATTGAATACCGAGAATATAATATATACAATGTAATGAGAATAAGATGCAGAGTTAGATTACGTAGTAATAGCAGAATCTTAGGATTGATTCCTTGATAGTAACAACTATCAGTCATGTTTCTAACCATCAAACCAAACATAACCTGATTGAAATAATCTTCTTGTCCTTTTCCCTTAAACCAAATATACTGTTAAAAATTGTTTTACAAAGATAAAGAACTCTAATTAAATTAATTTTCTTCCTTAAAATAGTAAAATTTTCACGTTAGTATCAAAATTGAAATAAGAAATAAGAGTTATGATCCATTTACATATAACTCTTACACATAGTATGAAACATCCCATCCTTATTTGATTATATTTTAAATAAAAATCCTTAGTTAGTAAGGACTTCTTTGAATATTTTAAAAGTTATGGGTTTACTTGGCTAAAATCATACATGAAGATAGGGGGCTGTCATTCCCAATGCCACTACCGTGTGACAAAACTAATGGATTTAATAGGATGCCATATCAAAACCGGGGCCTGGTTGTGAAAGGGTTTAAATCCCATTTTAGACATTTTTTATTACTCTCTCACTCCTTTCCTCCTCTGCAGCCGAGTAGAGTAAATGGCAGTGGAATTCCCTGCTGAATTAACGGAGAAGGAAGAGAATGTGGACAGAGAGCTATGCGAGATGAGCAAGCACCAGGGAAGAAAAACAAGAGGAACGGGTTTGCATGTTCAATTTTTTAAGCTTGTGGGTCAAAGAAGGAGAAGATGACAGAGAAGCTGCTGCTGTATAATAGTGGGAGAACTCGAAGAAATTCAAGGGATTCTACCAAGAATGGAGTTGGACTTTGTGAGTTAAGTATAGGTTATGGCTTCTGTAACTATAATTGATAGTTAAGATGGTAAATCAATTGATTTAAAGTGAATTGGACTTAAGATAAGTTGAATATGATGATTCAACCATTGAACACAGCCTCAAAAGAAGAATTCATTACATGTATGAGGAAGCAGTGAACTAGTAATAGGTATTTGTTTGTTAAAGCATGATTAAGACTTACTGTCTTGTGAAATTAGCTCTGTACTTGAAATCTGGAAGTGAGTATTCAGATGACTGTGAATTAATGATATTCATTTCTGAGTTCTATGTGAGTCTAAGTATATATGCGTAGTTAATTGTGTTTGGGTTCAAAACTAACCCGTGAGCATAATGACATAGGACATGCTGAGATATGCTTAGTATTTGCAAATTGTAATAAAATGCCTAAGTTCAAACTAACATGAGTCATTTAGGACTGAACTGAATATGAAGTACATGCACTTACATGTAAAAGATTGCATCAATATGCATATGAATCTATGGTATGATACCTAAGCTGTTAGGCTGGGTAAGATACTCCAAAAGTTACTTGGAGTCAAGAATGATGATGCTCCTAACGTATTTGGAGTAAAGAAAGAAGATATCTAAAATGATACCTGAGCTACTAAGTTAGGTAAGAACTCCTAAAGTTACCTCAAGTAGAAGAATGATGCTCCTGACATATTTGGAGTAAAGAAAGAAGATATCTAGATCCACTGCACAGTAGGAAGAACCATTGGTTGGACCATTGGTATGGTGGGATGTACACCCACAAGGAAAAATCCATAGATAAAATCTTGCATTCATTTGCATGTTGAACAAGCATAAGGCTGCCTTGCTATTATCTTATATTTAATGGAAGTATTTGTGTGTCATGTTTATTTATGGCACTGATGATAGTGTTCAGTATTGATGGGCAGTGTTTGATGGAACCGATTCTGTGCTTCCAGAGGTAAAGGAACATATTTTTCTTGTTGTTCTAGAATGGAGAGCAAGTAAGCATGTGCTTGGATTGAACTTACCTGTTCTAAATTAGATAGTTCTAATTTAGAGAATATGGATTATTGTTGAGATGATGATTTGTCTATGTCTAATTCTTGTATCTTGACATAAGTTTTATATGGAAGAACAATGTAAGTTAATTGACAGAACTTATTAAGTTAAATTACAGTCTCAGTTATGGCTCTTAAGTTATAACCTATGCTTATTGGGCTTTATAGCTCATGGTGTATTGTTCACCCTGCTTCAGGTTAGCTAGTGAAGAGATCAACAACTTTTGGGAGACTAAGAGTTTCCTATGGTTGCTGGTAGTGAACAAGCTTTTCACGCTTGTTGAGGTAACTTGTATCTGCCCAATGATTCTTAATCTAGTTTATTATGACAGAGTTTGCTGTATAAATAAGTGTATACACAGATTGTCCAAGGACTCGTATAAATATTCAAAGTATGTGTTATTAAATTGGAACCTAAAATCCTTAGTTTGCTACAGAGGTGATTATTTGTTCTTTAAAACTTTAGTTACCTGATTATTAAAAGTTGTCCTTAAACTGTTTTTGCGTTTTAAAGATAGCCGTTTTCAGAAGTTTAAGGTTTATTTATTATGAACTGGTTTTCAAAAGCTCCCTAAAGGAGACCTCAAAGTGTCTTTTTTCTAAGAAGTATGTCTGCAACTATTTAGAATGGAGTTAATCTAAAAGTTACAGCTCAAACTTGACCCCTTTTGGCTAAGGTTTCAGGGCTGGGATGTAAAACATTACTCACACAAAATTTTTACAATTCATCTTTTGACTATGAATAATTGAGATTTATCATGACTTTTTAAATAAAAATGACAATTATCTTAAAAAAATAAGATAAAAAGTAACAACTTTTTAGATAAAAAAAAATTACTCCCATCTTTAATAGTATGTTTGAGTTGATGGGAATGGAAGGGGAGGGGAGGGGAGGGGAAGAAATTTTTACCATTGTAATATTTAAAAAATGTTATAATTTGATTGTTAAAAAAACTTTCCCCTCTTCTCTCTTCCATTGCCCTCAACCCCAACATACAGTAAAATACATAAAAAGTTAATAAATCTTAGCTATTCATAATAAAAAGATTAATAGCTAAGATTTTTTATAAGAAATATGTATAAAAATTGTGTAGAACTTGATCCTAACTCAAGAAATATAATAAAAGATAATACCAAACAATTCCAAAGTTTTCTGTTTCTCAAGTTCGGGGCAAGGTTACATACTTACATGTTGCTTTGTACTTCTTCAAAATTTCAAGTTCCTCTTATTGACAATCAAAAATATTTTTGAGGGATTCAGTTTCAGTCTCAAGTTTCTACACATTGGACTTCACTTGCCATTCATTTTCATGAACATATATATATCATAATGAAATTCACGACTTGAAGAAGAAAAAGAAATATAAGGTTCAATAGTTAGGCGCAAACTTACAAGTTGCTTGATGAATTTCTGGTTCAATTCCTCAGAATCGTTTCTAAGCTCATCCAATTCCTTTGATTGGGATTCTTTTTCACTCCTTAATAATGCATTTTCAGCTTCAAGTTTCTCCAAATTGGACTTCAATTGTTGTTCATTTTCCTGAAAGTACCATAATAAAATTCGAGACTTTGAAGGGACAAAAAAAAAAAAAAAAGCTTTGGAAGATAGTGGAAACTTACAAGTTGCTTGATGAATTTCTGGTTCAATTCCTCAAAATCGTTTCTAAGCTCATCCAATTCCTTTGATTGGGATTCTGTTTCACTCTTTAATAATGCATTTTCAGCTTCAAGTTTCTCCAAATCGGACTTCATTTGTTGTTCATTTTCCTGCATGTACCATAATAATATTCAAGACTTAAGAATAAAAAGAAAAATAAACTTTTGTAGCTAGGGGCAAACTTACAAGTTGGTTGATGAATTTCTGATTCAATTCATCAAAACTGCTTCTAAGCTGATCCAGATCACACTTCATTCGCTTTTGCTTGTCCTAAACATACCATAAGTACTCGTACGTCAAACTTCAAAGTTCATGCTTAGTGATTTGTCCAAAATGATAGTTGCTTTCTACTCAAATTTTGTTTTAAATTAATTGTCGTTTACCTAATTAACATTGTAGTCTTCAGTCAACAAATTAGTAATTAGTGCTATAACTATTTGCATCGGAAAAAAAATGTGGTTTTATGAAGAGAAGTATTTTTTAATATTTTTTACGCATAACTTTAACACCACAATTATTATTATTATTAATTATCATTTTATTCATTCCCTTTAATTATTTATAAAGAGAAGAGATTTCTTTTTACTTGGACTAACATGTTATTGGTTATACTATTGCCGCATATATGTACATGTTTACTACTGTGAATGAATCATCTCTTCAGCCATATACTTGTCCTAATAACCTGTTAATAAGTACTCATGTGTCAAAACTCAATAAGCAATTCTGGATTTGATTCCTAAACTCAGTAACTCTTATCATGGAATATTTAATTCCTCATTTAGTATATATGGCCTCTATCTATATAATCATCCAGTATCAATTAAACAATCTCAAATGTTGGATTTACAAATAAGTAAATGTTTTTTTTAGGTGAAAGTTCAAATCTTAGGGCCATTATTCAAGAAAATTTAGGTGTACCTTAATTATCACCTAGAGATGGACCAGGAACACCATGGCTATCCTATGTGGTATGAACCAGAGGTGCTAAACAAACAAAAAGAAAAGAGAAGATTATTAGTTACCTTGAATTTCTCCCTGTATACTTTATCATACTTTCTTTTTCTGGCCCGACGTTCTTCTGCTGCTGTAATCTGAGGAGTATTTCTTCTTGAATGAGAATCCGCAGACCATATATGACGTTGACCATCTGATTGTTGCTCCCTCGTCGGCTCTGTTTCAGCTACCGGTTGATTGATCACCGGCGACATATTTTGCTCATTGCTTCCATTCATGGAGTAACTACTCCGCAACAAACCTTGAACAAATTGCTCTGAATTTACTGTGTATGGATTAAAGGACAGAACACTGTAAGGAGTTTATATAAGAAAAAGAACCAAAAACCTTACACCTTAATAGAAGAAGAACATCGAAAAGATGAGGAGAAACTAAAGATTTATTCTTTTGCAAGCGCCATGTAAGACTTACGACTTGTATTGATGGATTGCCTGTCTTCTCCATCTTCACCGCCTTCATAGGAATTAGGATTCCTTGTGTTCCCCTCCATTAATTTACTTTCCTCTCTGGACAGTGGAGTTATGAGGACAATGTAAAATGGGCATCGTCAAAGGTTGGGGGTCATGGAGGAAGCTAGTGAAATATACAAAAGGAAAAGGGGAGATGATAGGGGTGTGATGGACTGATGAGCATTTAATTTGCACAGAAAGAGAGACCTTGAATTTTGATTAGAGATCGATATTGCATTCATCGTTGGCCTGTCGGTTGACCGTCGTAGATGAATCGTTTTATTTTTTTAAGGCAAAACCAGCAAAACCCATGGCCTGTTGTTGGGAAATAAGCCCAACACCGAAGTGGGCCCTGTACAGCAGACCCATTTGCATGTACAGTTACCCCAAAGCAACCCCAAATGTGAACACACTTACCGAGTTATACCCACGAAGGTGATAACACATGGGTTAATGGGGTATTTACACATGGAACTTTTTATTATTAATGGAGATTATAAATACCTCCATTTACTCCACGCAAGATAATAATTCTACTACGTTTTTTTTTCTATAATCACTCTTTTAGAGGTTTTTGTTCTTTAAAAAATTAAGTGTTGTTGACTTAAGTGTTAAAGTGTTTTTTTAAATAAAACACTCTTACGTCTTTCAAGTATTAGAGCACCTAGAGATCTCTAGGTTCGTGAAATTGCTCAAACACTTGTGTTAAGCCCTAGACTTTCCTCATTTTAGAGAGTAAGCCCTCAATTAGAAAAAAAGGTATAAGCCCTCAATTAGAAAAAAAGGTATAAGCCCTCAAACTGCTATATTGATGCAAATTAACCCATAGTTAACAGCGACTTGTCTGATGTGGCATGTATTATCAGTTAATATCCTTTAAGGAGTTGTTTGGTTGAAGGAAAACTTTTTCTTTTAAATTTTTTGAACATTTTTTATATAAACTTATTTATATATTTTTGCACATTAATATAATAATAAATGAGTGAAAAAGTGACATTTTGAGTATTTCTTTTTTCTAATATACTTTTCAAAATATAAAGCTTTTTTCCACATATTTT